GCCCAATAGCCATCTTTTTAATGAACAGTGTTGCAACAACTGGATATTTATATGGAAAGAAGAGGTTGGACATCTTTACACCCTGTGTGAAAACAGTCAAAATGGACCAGAAGCCTAAATGTAAGGGCTAAAACTAAGGTAAAAAAGCAACACACATAATGGGAGAAAGTATCACAAATCTCTCTGGTCAAGAACTAGAGTCCAGAATAGATAAAGAACATTTACAACTCAAAAGACAAAGAACTCAAAAGTGGTCAAAGGACATGAGTGGACATTTCTCACCAGAATATCTATTGTCTAAGTTCAGCTTCTCCCCCCCCTTCACCTTTCAAGGTCATTCTCATGCTGGGCCTAATAAAGGCAGAGCAGCTCATCCTGATAAGGAACACTTCAGCCTGCCTCTTCCTCCACAACGTCTGCATCACTTCCCTTGTTGCTGAGACACAATATCCAACACCCAAGACTTAAAAGAGGAGAGGCTCATTTTAGATCACAGTTTGTAGAGGTTTCAGACCATAGTCACCTGGGTCCATGGCAGGCATCATGGCAGAGGAGCCTGGTGGAGGAGAAGCTGCTCACCTCACCTCATGGCAGACAGGAAGTAGAGTCAAGAGAGGACCTGGAAGGCAGATAAACCCTTCCAGGTCACACCCACTAGAGCTGCCTCTTCTAATCAGGCCTCACCTCCTAACAGCAAAGCAGCTGTGAGCACCTATAATCCATCACCTTCCAAAGGTCCTGCCTACGCGTGCACGGGGCCTTAGGGTAATGTCTAAATAGGAAACACAGCACATGAGTTTCAGCGTATGCCAAGCAGTTTGCAAGAAGTTCCTTGCTTGTTCCCCTCTCAGGGACAAAACTTGACCTCAAGATTTAGGGCTGCTTAGGTCTCTCCTTTGTGTCTGCTTTCAGATTTACTTGAAATATCTTTTATAGGTCATTCACAAAATACAAGAAAAGAAAGTATAAGGATAGCATGGAAGTTAAAGTAGAATTTGGGTATGTCCAGTGTGGAGGGATAAAGTATCATTACCACCAGATCCAGGCAGCTCCAGAGTAGGAGACACCAGCCAGAACCTGGGACTCGGCTGAGATACAGTCCAGGCTCTGAGTGTATCAGGTGAGATGAGCCTTGTTATTCCAACCAGGAAACTAAAAGTTTAGGAACCAGTTTCTGTGAACAGTTGACTGAAAAAGCTTCCCAAGCCACAATGAAGGTGGAGACGTGATGTCCACAGAAGAATCTCTAAAACATCACTGGGCTTCTTGGGTTTCCTTGGAAAGCACATACCTGGTCTTCCCCCCGTCCACGCATCTCTACCTCCAGCCCACTGCCTAGTGAATCTCTGAAGCTCTCAGGGCTCGTGTGGCAGGCAGAGCCACACTGCATGTGTGATATATTCGGAAACTGTTTGTTGGTTGTGATTGGGAACTAAGGGTGAACAGTTAACAACATAAAAAAACATAGGTAGCTTTCACTGACATTGGCATTTGGGGGGTACAGTGGTTTGATTTCCCCCAAGGAGTCACAGATAGGGGCTTGCTCCTCAGTGTGGTAGTGTCGGGGTGGGACCCTAATGAGAGGTCCTTAGAGCTGCTGCCCGGGGAGGGTTGGTGTTGCCTTCCTGGGTCCCCAAGCTGGTGGTCCTGAGAGAGCAAGGTTAGAGTGAACCTGGCCCTCCCCTGGCTGTGACTTCCTGTCTAGCGGTGGGGTCTCTTCCTCTTCCACTCAGTGCCACCATTAGGATGCCATCCACCAGGAGGTCCTCACCAGTCTAGCTGATGCCAGTGCCACGCCCTTGAATCTCCACAACTAGGAGCTCAATCAACCTCATAATAAAGTTTCTCAGCCTCTGGGACTTCCTGATAGCCATGAACAAACACAGAAGGTAAAAATGGTTGGGTGACATCTGTTTCATATGGTTCTGCCCCACATACCAGAGAATACCAAAATTGGACTTAAGCAGACTGGATCAAGAGTTTCTACACGATTTCCCTGGGTGTATAAACAGAGTAGGGACTTGTGAAAGGTACTGGGGCTTCAGAAGCAAATCAAGGCAGGGTGCTTTGCCGAGAACACAACATGTTATGCTGTGTGTGGCGGTTTCCAGCACAGTCGTGTGTTGGCTGAGCCGGGTGTTCTGAGAAATGCGCTGCTGGCTGCACTAGCTGGATCCACATCAGCATGCACTTAAACTAAAATTGCTACGATGTCACTGGTGGTGAAATCTCACGGGCCCACAGCTGTACATGCAGCCCACCATCATGTGGCACACGGCTGTACAGCTGGGTGAGTTTTGATAAATGCATATGCCTCTGTGTCCACCGTCACCAGATCTGGAACATTTATATTGGCACACAAAGGTTCTCGGTGCTGCTTCCCAGTCAATTGCTATAACATCTGGCCCAAGGAAATTATTTTTGCTTCCTGTAACTGTATTTGCCACTTTTATATTTTCAAAATTCTGGGATTTTCTTTGAAGCATAGTGTTTTGAGACTCATTCATGCTAATACATATTTCAAGTTTGTTCCTCTACATTAATGAATAGCATTCCACTGTAAGAATAGTTTAAGAGTTTATCCTCTGGGCTGGGAATTTAGCTCAGTGGTTTCACCACCTGCTATGCAAGCACAAAGACCCGAGTTCGATCCCTGGTACCAAAAAAAAAAAAAAAGAAGAGTTTATCCACTCATTTGTTGATGAAAATTGGGATTATTTTCAGTTTGGGATTATTAAGAATTAAACTGGTATGAGGATTTGAGTTTAATTTCTTGTATAGACATATGTCCTAATTTTACTTGGGTTAGAAGTTAGTTGAATATTTGACTCATGATAGGAATAAATTTAACTTTGTAAGAAATGGCTGGACGTGGTGGTGCACAACTATATTCTCAGCACTATAAGAGGCTGAGGCAGGAGGATTCCAAGTTCAAGCCTACTCTGGACAATTTAGCAACTCAGTAAGACCCTGTTTAAAAATTTAAAAGGATGGACGATAATGGAGATGTAGCTTAATCTGAAAGTGCTGAGCTCAATTCCCAGTACTGCCAAAAAAAAAAAAAAGAAAGTCAAATATTTGACAAAGGAATTATAGCATTTTTCCTTACCACCAACAGTGTAAAAGATTTCTGAATATGCCACAATTACCAAGGCATGGAATTGTCTGTTTTAAAATTTACCCATTCTAGTGGGCATTCAGAGGCATCTCGCTTTAATTTGCACTTTGATTAATGATGTTCAGCATCTTTTTATGTCCCTTTTGCCATCCTTATATCTGCTTTTGTAAAATATTTTTTCATATCTCTTGCTCACTCAAAATAAAAGTCTTCTATCTGAGGCATTATGAATAACTTCTCTCTGTGGCTTACATTTTCATTTTCTTCACGATGTCTTTGCAAAAGGAGAACTTCTAAATTTTGAAATAGTTTATTATTTAATTTTAAGGTTTATGGTTTTTGAGTCCTTTATAAGAAATCCTTGCTTTATCCAAAGATAATAAAGAATTTTGTTTTCTTCTAGTTGTTTTGTGGTTTTAGATTTTAAGTAAAAGCCTATGATCTACATGATCATGTTAATACTTGGGCTGGTATGAGGTCACGGTTAAGGTTATTTTCCATATTGATGGTGATTAGTCACTTTCCCGCCACTGGACAAAATACCTCACACCCAGAACTTAAGGGAAGACAGGTTTACTTTGGCTCACGGTTTCAGAGGATATAGTCTCTGGTCGGCTGGTGCCAAGGCAGAAATGACGATGGAATGGTGTGGTAAAGGGAAGCTGTTCAGTGCCTGGCAGCAGGGTGCAGAGAGAGAATGAAGAGGAGAGCCAGGGACAAGAATGTGCCCTTTGGGTCACACCCCCCAGGGAACCCCCTCTTCCGACCAGGCCCCACCTCTTAGCTGCACAGCCAGCTGTGAACTCACCAGCAACACCATGATCCAATCAATCACCTTCCAAAAGCTCCATCTCTGAATACAGGAGGCTTTCGGGGGATATTTTAGATCTAAACCATAATGGGTAGATACCCACTTACTCAAGCTCCATTTCTCTGAAAACATTTCCTTCTTCAAAGAAAAGTTTGGTGTGCTGGGTGCCTTTAAGATTTCATTTGTTCTTTTGATCTGTAAACATCAAATGCCAGAGTGTCTCTACTGCAGCTTTATAGCAGGTCTTGAAATAAATCCTTCAGCTTTCTTTTCTAATAAAAAATATTTGGCTACTTTATGTCCTTTTAACAGTGATTAAGGCAATTTACTTCTTTATGTTTTTTGTTTTTGTTCAAAAGGACATAATTTGTTTGCTAAATTTCAAACAGCATTACAAAAGTTTATTCAAAATCTTAAATCTCTGAACATAACTTAAATATTGTAGAGTGGTATCAGTCTTACAACTTGTCTTAATCCATAATATTATTAAGTAGAAAACAAGACCCTTGGAGAAAAGGAATAAAAACAAGAGGTATGAGCCAACATGTGCAGAACTTAGGATTGAATAGGTAGTGAGGTTCAACAAATCAAAGTTTGCACTTCGCCTTGTAACTTCTGAGTTATGCAACACTGTTCATCACAACCTTGCTATGCTGCACCTTCTTATCAATAAAACAGGACATATCTACCTCTCACGGCCCTGTGAGATAATTAAGTACAGTTCTCGGCATCATGCTTGGCACGACATTAGCTATTACTAGCATCTTCTCTGAGCCCAATGAAGCCAGCTATATTTTCCCAGTTTCTAAAAGAAGATTCCAGATTGTCCACTACGGGAAAGATTTTTTTCCTCGAATCTGTACTCAGGATCATTTTCATTATGCCTTACTTTCAGAATTTATTACGAGCTATAAAAGTGGTGGTTCTAGGGCAGGGGCCTGGGTGGATTTTTTATGCCAATATTTCTCAACTGGAAGCAGTCCAATGAACACAGGAGAGAATGGCACTATCCCATTTAGTACTCAGAAATGTAAGCAGCCCTCACAATGAAGACATGTCACCCAATATGTCAAGGAAATATTTCTATTTATTGTAATATTAAGATAACAAGAATAAAACTTTAAAAATAAAAATAACTTTAAAATTAAAATATAGTATAGACACAATTAAAAATACATTAACTGAACATTACCAAGACTACGTAAATGCAGGATACTTATAAAGTGCTCTAGAAATATTAACACCTATTATTGGAAAAAATTTGAAATTTGTTTCTAATTTTCAAGCTAAGGAATGAAGCAGTAAACAGTAGCATCAAGACTTTTCTTGTCCAAAAGAGATTCTGTATCATTTCTTGCTTGTTTTTTCCAAAACCCATTCAATTACCTGGGAAAAGGAAATAGATAATTATAGTACCTTTCTATTAAAAATACAAGTGGTAGAAAAAATATTAAAACTATTAAAACTTCAAAAGAGAATAGTAAAAAATTTAAAGTAAAAAGTAACATATCCAGACCTTACACTTAAAAAACATTTTATTTTCCAACTACAGAACCTCTTCTGCTGAACTTCAAATTCTGAGTACCATATTGTTCTCATTGGACAAAATAAAGATTCTCTTCCATTTTCTTAATTTTACGTGAAAATGTGTTTTCAAAAGGTCAGTCAAAAGAAATTAAACCAAAGTTTGAAAAAAGCTAATCAAAATGGATTAGTTTTTCTAGTTCTCTGATTTATTTTTTCTTTCTTAATACCATTTTAACAAAGTACGCTATTAAGTATTATTAAATACTATGCTTAAATAACTTTTATTATAAGCAGCTTAGAAAGTTTTCAGAGGGATGTTGTTGAAAAGAGCATCACTAATTCTTACTGCACATATAACAGCAGCACAACATCCTGAAATAAATTTCCAACTCAATGGAATGTTGTTTCTTGCGAATCATTTATTTACCTGTGTGACATTGTTGTTTGCTGTTTTCTTCATTTCTTCAAATAAACCTCTTGAAGTTTTAAGATCCTAAAAAAGAAGAAAATATAGCATTTTTTCAATTTTGTACGTTAAATTAGAGAACAATTCATTAGTAAGTAAGCTTGAGGTCATCTTAAACCATTCTGTAAGTATCAAATGCAATTAAGGAAACATTACCAAAATCAAAGTAATATCTTATGATTAACCTCCACTTGAAATATAAAAATATCCTAAGCAGAATATCCACCCATCCATCTAAATCCATGTCCCCTCAGCTCATATTCCCAATGGATCTGATGCAGCATCAGGTCACAGTCACCCTCTACCCTGGGCATTTATTAATTATGTATTGGCTTCCTTATATAGGGAATGAATATATGGTTTGTATTTATTCTACAGGTAAAAATATCTTTTTTTCCCTCTTTCTTTTTTGCTATTTCACTGTACCACAAACGGGGACAACACAGGAAATGAAATAGAATTCTGACTAAAAATTCAATGACATCAAATCAAATTATAAAGTTTAAAAACTAACTGTATTTTAAAAAGAACAAAAAAACGGTCCTTTGCCAGAGCTCTAAGCAATGCTGCCTAGAATTGGGCCCTTTCAGTCTTTCAGTCGCTTCCTTTAGCTGCCCCTTAGCACTTCTGCCGGATCCACTTCCACGGCTAGCCAGAGACAGTGACTCTGTATCAGTGCTGATTAATGGCCGTGGACCGGGTCTTGTACATGCCACCCACTGTCTCTCCCGCTCGCTCAATAACAATCGAAGTCTTTGACCAGTGAATAGTGTTGGCATAACTGAGATAAACACTGTTTAGGCCTGAGGTAATTAAGCTATTATCAGTCTAACAACTCCTTCATCCAATGTTCTGATTTCCCTGTGGTCAAACTACCTGTTTGTTTTCCACTTGCTTCGTTTCACTTGCTTCCATGTCTATAATTCTGAGTATTTACCCTTCCCTGACAATGGAGTGATTAAATATATAGCAAAGGTTTCTAAGCACCAAAGTATACTGCATAATCTGTTATTTTTTCCAGTTTTATGTTTTTAACCTATACATCTGTCTTCTCTTGTCTGCTCCAGTTTGGTCTAGCAGTTCCCGTGGAATGCTCCAGGACTTCTTGTTCTATTTATGATTCTGCCCCTTGTCCGCTGAACTTCAGCTTCTACATGATTCCTCAAGAGGGTGAGGTACATTTTCTTAGACCTTTTGTCTGAAAGATTCTCTCTGAATCCTCACATCTGCTTGGACTGTAGACAGGGTATAAAATAGGAGGCAACTCCCATTCCCTCAGAATTTGAAGATACTTTTACCATCTTGTAGTGTGCGGTGTTACTGCGGAGAAGCCCTTTCTGGCTCTTGGTTCTTTACATGGGAGTCACATTCTCTCCTGCTCCGGAAGCTGGCTTTTTAGAATGTTCTGGAAGATGTTCCACTGACGCCAAGAGGCGTGGAACTGCACTGAGACTCAGTGACACAGTGACATGGTTTGTAGGAGGCCTTCCTTTCCCAGGATGAAATACTGTGTGCTCCTTCCCAGCAGGCTTCAGTCCTCCGTTCTGGGAAACTTTGATTATATTTTTGACAGTTTTCTCTCCTACTGTTCGCACACTGGATCTTCTGCATTAATCCTTCACTTCTCTTCCACTTTTCAATGTTTTTCTCATTTGATTCTAGCTTCTGGTAATTATTTTACACGTAAACTGTTCAGCTTTTCTATTCCATGGATTTCATCATATTTTCAATTTTAAGGAGATTTTGTGTTCTGTATACTTTCTTGTAAGCAGCATCCTGTTCTAGTTTTATGGACACAGTTACATTCTAAGAGAATTACACTTTCCACAACGGCTTTCTCCACTTTCTGTCCTTCAGTCTTCTCGTTCCTTGATGACTTGTTATCATGTGTTGAAAGCTTTCTTTGAAGCTTGCTCCTCCCTGGCCGTCTGGTCACATTTCAAAGAGGGACACTAGAGCTACAGACGCCTTTGCTGTGCAGAGCTTGCTACAAGGCTGGGTGACTGGGTGGCCAGTCAGCCTTTGCTCTGCAGGCTTTCTGTCCCCAGTGACAATTTCCTGTCCTGTCACGGAGGTGGGGAAAGCACCATGAGCAGCTGACCTCACAGTGCCTGCCGTGGGAGAAGAGTGTGCAGCGAACACTGCAGGCCCAGCATACTTGGCAGATCTTCACTGATTTCTTCTCATTTACTCCGGCACCACATTCCCTGCTTCCCTGATGTCTTCGAATCCTGAGCACCTCGAAGACCTGCCTGGGTCTCCCTGCACTCCAGCAGGTGGCTCTTGGGCTGTGGGATCTCCCAGCTCCATGCTTCCATGGACTTGTTCAGCAAACCACATGTCCACCACTTTTCCTTCCCCTTCCCTTGCTCTCTGTCATGGTGCTGTTTTGCTTGAGAAATTTTAAAGAGGAAGAGAACTGAGTGCATGTGCTTACTGTGCAATTTTAACCAGAAACCTACATGGAACTGTCATTCAAGTCAGAAACAGACTGAGATAATCTGACACCATCTAAGTTTTAGAAAACTGTCTTTTGAGTGGCTGACCTGTCTGATGTCTTGTAACCAACTAATGATGGATCCCCCATTAGAAACTGGGTGTTTTCATAGAATCCAGTAGCATTTTTACTACATATAGTAATAATAATAATAATAAAAAAATTGTCAATTAAATGAATTAATTATTAATGTTCAAAGCTCCAACTGAAGTTGTGAGACTTGTTAAGGGATATACTGAGGACTCCAGTTAAAATCAGTTATCTGAGGACTAAAATCAAATAAATGTAAAATATTTTTGCATCATTTTTCTATCTCCATTTACAAAATCCTAGCAACAATTTATAGGACATCAGTATAAAAAATAGTATTTAAACCTTTTTTTAATCAAATGGGAGCATTAGAAGGAGAACAAAATGTTGCTATTAGCAAAGAAGACACCAGACCTTCAGGTAGCACTTGGAGATCTCAAAGAGCCGCTGGCTACAGGCAGGGAAACACTCGTGAGCCTCAGTGATGCAGTGTTTCCTCAGGGACTCGGCTACCACTTCTTTCAGGATCTGAAACAGAACAGCACACAGAAGGAGAGTAAAACCTCTGGAAAAAGGACAGACATTTCCACTTTGGAGTTCATCATAACTGAACTGGGAATCCCACTGTCAGGCAGCTGAATTAAAGACAGCGAGTGAACACATCTTTAACACCAACATGGTCACATGGGTCCCGGCATTAGTACAGGGAGTGGCTGTCATATCTTAAGAAAGGAATTCAAATCAGGAGTTGTGAGTTGAACTCTGAGTATAACAGTTACACCCAGCAGGGATATTAGGTATGTGCTTATTTTATTTTATTTTAATTATCGTTATTAATTTTATTGGTACATTATATATATATGTGCATATATATATATAGTGACCACATTCATCATAGGAAAATTGTACCTGTATATAATCTATCTTGATTTTTCTTTTTTCCCCTCAATCCCTTCCTCTCCCTTCAACTATTCTTCCCCTCCTTAATTATAAAAGCTTTGGTTCTAGTTTTTCCTTATACTCTCTTTTTCTTTTCCTCCTCCCCTCTCCCTTCTTTTTCTTAGCATTTGAATATTTTCTTCCCATTTCCCAATGTCTGTTTTACATTTTGGTCCTTATTTTCACTTTTAGTTTCTCACACCAGAGTGTGTTTATTTTTTATTGTGGAAAATTCCAAATAAAGCAGTGTCCACTTCTTTTTCGTTTCTCATTATTTGAGACTGAACCCAGGCCCTTCACACTGCTACGTCCCCACCCCTTTTATTATATTTTATTTTGAGACAGAGTCTCTCGGAGTTGCTAAGTTCCCAAGGCTGGGCTAACACTTGCGATCCTCCCGCCTCAGTCTCCCAGAGGGCTGGTATTACAGGTGTGCAGCATCACAACCTGGCTAATTCCTGCCTCACTTTATCTGCCACCTTGTTTGAAGGATGATCAATTCCTGGCTGATTTTGTTTCATTTGTCCCCTGCTCACTTTGCCCATCATCCTTATTCTGAGTGATTTTAAATTCCAGACATTATTTCATTCACAAAATCTTTACAAAATTCAAATAAAGGAATGTCTTCTCGTGTAGAATGTGAAGGATGAGAAAGTCTTTACCCTTGTATGCTTCTGAGACCTGGACTCCTTAGTTTGCCCTGATGGTTTTGACTCGTGCATGCTGTTCTGACCAGAGCCAGCCTTTTTCATGGCTTTCGGAGCTTCGCTGCCAGGATTGGAAAGGGAAGGATGCGCCATGGCTGAGGGCTGCTCTGGCTGCGGCTTCCTGGACGTCACTGCGTGATGCTGGCGACTAGTGCCAGTTGGCTGGGACAGAAGAGAATCTAAGCTGTCAGATTTCACGGCTCTACAGGGAGAGGAAAATGCAGAGCACAGATGACGGGAATCCACAAATGTGGTAACTGCATCTGAATGAACACAAACTCAGAAAGAGGAGATGGAGTTGCTTGCTACTCTGTCTTATGTAAGCAATCGACATTGTTTTGTAAAGTTGTTCCTTCAGTTCTTCAAATGAGTACAACAGAAGGCAATGCATAACAACTAGCATTTCAGCTACTTCTTTAGATACTTATACTTTTCTATTAAGAGATTATTTTTTCCATAGTGTCTCACTATGGAGTCCAGGCTGGCCTTGAACTCACTATGGAGCCCAGGCTGGCCTCAAACACATGGTGATCCTCCTGCCTCAGCCTCCTGAGTGCTGGGATGACAGTGTGTGCTGCCAATGCCCAAAGAGAGAATTTTAATAAAGGAATCCCTAACCTGTCTCTTATGGTACCTATGCCACTAACTGCCCATGCAAAATAAAAAACAATATTTAAAAAAGCACAGAACTGTTAAATGTGTTGAGGCTTCCATGTTTGGCAAGAGCGGTTCCTCTAGGCTTCCCTTCTCTCTGCCAGCCGCAGCTCAGAATGCTTTCACTGCAGGAGCATAAATCTTCTCATCAGTCACTTCAGAAACTAAGCTCTTTTGCTTTCCACCTTTATCAGATGTAAAAAGTACCAGGAATTTATAAAGTTGTCCTAAAACTCATTTTGTTACTCCATACCAGGAAAATAGTCTTCTCTATTTTTATGTGTTCACAACATGTGAAAGTTTCGTTTTCACCTATTCTGTAGATTTTTGAAGGTTTACATACAGTAAAAACTTAAGGCTTGGTTTGAATACCAAGGACCTAAAATCGACAGCTGTAAAGATATATAAATTTGATAGAAATTAGTGTTTATTTCATAAATTTCTAATCTCTGAGCCGCTATCCGGAGGCTCTATTTAGTAGCAAAAGATGTACCTAAAAAGTTTCACAGGACGCACTAATTACGTAGGTTTGAAAATTACATTTTCTATGGATCAAGTGGGCTTCCTACAGTGCCCACCCAAGCGGGCAGGAAACCGAGGCAGAGGCAGCCCGAGCCAGCAGGAGACCTGCCACGGGCTGTCCGTTGGCAGGCAGCGAGCAGCAGGGTTTGGTGCCGACCCTTTCCTTTCTATAACTTCTAAACAACATCGTCCACTGCTCACGATAAAAACAAACTTGCTGTCATGAAGGAATTAATATAAATCCATGCAGCAAGGACTAAAAACATAGCAGCCCCCGCCCCCACTAGAAAGCACTTTCCGTCCAGATGCTACTTCGGCACTCACTGCGTCACCTTTTAGGGGGCCGAGGGCAGCTCAGCTCCCCGGACCTCCGCGTCAGGCGGGACGCCTCGGGTCCGGGTCCGGGTCCGGGTCCGAGCTCGCTCTGCAGCGGTTTTCCGTCCGAACCACTCCCAGGCTCCGCGGGAACCAGAACCGGAACCGCAGGCGACGGGATGGGGCTCAACACCGCGGGGCCGAGAAAGCTGTCCCTGGTGCAGGTCGTCTGTGTTTCGTAACGAATAAGGCGAGACTGCAGTTCTGAAAATCCGCCGTCTCTCTCCAAAGCCTTTCGGTCATCCAAGCAGTATCTAAACGAGGAGGCCAGAGATGGGAGAATCAAAGCCTCTGCCAGGACAGCGGGCTTCTTCCGTGCACACAGAACGCCAAGACGTCAGTGCCCGCGTCCTTCCCCGGCTTCCCTCGGCTCAGCCGGCCTCCCGCAAGCTGCTTCTCAGGCCTGCTCCCCGATAAGGCGAAGGGTTTAAGACTGCAGAGCACGGTCTGATTTCTCTTCCACTGTGTTGATGGGCGACAGATGAAGTGAGGCCTTTGGCATACTTTCAAAATAATACAGCTGCGCTTTAAAACTTCTTAAAACTCTAGGAACCTCTGATTTCTCAGCATGGCTGATCTATACCAACGTGCAGTGCTGACTTCTCTTAAAAAGAGTGAGTTGCTTTTCAACACAGAGATTAAATGGGTATAAAAGCATCCCAAACTCGCTTACCAAGCAGCTCAGCGCATCCTGACTTTTTCGCTAAGGCTAAATCCACGTCTGACTGACAGGTTTCCCTTCAAACCCTTTGGATGTCTGTCCATCTGGTTTCTAGCTAAATATGATTCAGGGGTCAACGAAATGTTAGCTCAGCAAATGCTTCTAGCTTTAAAGAATTCCCTGCTGCTAAGCACAACCAATAAGCACATGAGGAAAAGCACGAGTGAGAAATGCGACCTTGTGCCCTCTCCCCCTTTCCGCAGTACATCAGGAGAGTAGGCCTAGTTTCACACACAGATGGGCTGAAAAGTTAACTCTCTTCACTGTTATCTGTCCTCCTGCACCTGTAAAATCCCAACATGGTCCCTAAAATCAGATTTCTGGAGTTCAGCTTTCAAGGAGTGGATCATTACCCAGACATCTGACTGCCTGGTGGAGGTTTTAAAACTTTCTCTCTCCAATGTGACACACATTTGATTTTTCTGAGAATCTGGACTACATCTAATTCAGGCTCCTAAACCCTTGGACTTAAACTTGTGCTCCTCTGTTTATTAGCTGTGTGAACTTGGCCAAATGATTTATCTATGCTTCTTTTGCCTGATCCACAAAGTGAGACACATAGTACTTACAGCCTTATCTGAAAGAACTATTGGGAGGATTACCTGAATGGTACATAGAAACATTTAGTCAGTGCCTGGAACATGAAAGCAAAACAAGTGATCAATGCACTCTGCCATTTCGATCACCATCATTAGATTTATTTTCTATCACAGCACATCTTATAGCATGCTAGAAATATGTACCATAGCCAGAATTTAAGCCCAGCTTGGTGACTTCAGAGCCCGACTTGAGTATACTGTCTCCTATAAGGTATATGATCATCTTAAGTGGTGAAGCAACAGAAGGCTGAACATTAGAATTGAGCCGGAAAATGGTTTCTGAGCAAAAAGGTGTCTCCTGTGCGAGCTGACCTGACAAAGAGCCACCCCCAGCTCATCCCCCTCCCACACCTAACCCGTGACCTCCTTCACTGTCCTTTGTGCTCAGGAAGCGTCTGTATCCAGGGTACCTTTCTATCCAAGCATGTAAACTAATGTAACTTCCTCAACCTTGAACTGATGATAAACGCCTCACTTCTGTATTCCCACCCCCTTCCTTAACCCATATAAACCCTGTTCACTGCCAGCTCTAGGCTGACTGCTTTGTGGAGAAACCCTTGATCAGCCCACTGGTGTAATAAACTTGCCTCCAACCTCCAGGTACATCCTCCTTTGGCCTGATCTTGCTGGACCACTGAGAGCTGCCACACTATGGACTGCAAGTCTGCTGCTACAGAATCACCTGAGGAGCTACTCCATGTCAATAGTTTCTGATTTGATTGGTCTGTGGTAAGAACTAGTCATTGGGATTTTTAAAAAGCTACTATGTAAGACTATTTTTTTGACTGCAGGAATCATTTCATTGCACAAATGTTTATCAAAACATCATGTCACACATACATCTTAAATACACACAACTGACAAGTCTGCTTAGACCATGCTGACGTGTAGCTAGGACTGAAAGAAAGCATCTCCAATCTAACTTAACCATTTACTATAAACTGGTGAAAAAACCGAAGCTTCAATGAGAATGTTAATTGGTGGCAGAGCAGGAACTAGGTCTCAGATACCTCAATTCTCTAATATTCTTTCTCAAGTCTGTCATTTAATAAAATGTATTTCATTAAAAATCAGCAGCAGGGGCCGGGGATTTAGCTCAGTGGTTTCGCTGCCTGCTGTGCAAGCGCAAGGACCGGAGTTCGATCCCCGGTACCAAAAAAAAAAATCAGCAGCAACTATGAACATTACTGATGAGTTTTACTTCTATCCTAGGCAAATAATAAATTTAGAGTAAGATTAAGAACCATGAATTTTTAGAAAGGTTCTAGGCAAGAGGCAGTGTAATGGCTGGTTAGCATGAACATGGGGAATATTTAGAGAAAAGATGCATATTTTGATTGTAAGAATATTTTTTCTACCCTAATGTTCTGTTTCTAAGCTGTAGATTTTTTTCTTCCAGTTGTCTCTTGATCACAGCTGTTTACAATGTCATCCCCTCAACTGAATTCTCTGTATGAGTTCACTTTAATTGCCATTTGAAATGTCCTTAAGATGATTGGACTATGATTTGCCATGGAAACAAAAAGGTTCTTTGTAAATTAGAAAAGAAAAAAACAGTTATAGGAGAAAGATTTGATATTAGTGAAATATTTATTGTGGGATGAATGATGACAATCTCATATTTTCTTATAAAACAATAACCAAAAGTTTTATGGGTCCTACCAGAGAAAAACGCCCCTAAGATAATGAAGTTGTTTTTGTTTTGTAACTAAAAAGACAGATAAAATCCTGTCTGTCATGCAGCAGGCCATGGCAATGAGTTCAGGAGAAAACTGCCAAATCTGGAATGGATGAAAGACATTTCCCAAAGTAAGGAGAGAGGCCAGGTGTGCGGTGCGACTGCCACACTGTGACAGAAGAGGTTCGCTTGCTGTTTAGAGAACAACACATTTTCCTATCAGCGGTGTCTTACCTTCCAGGAGAGGGAAACACACGAAAAAGAAACAAGCTAACAACGCTGCGTTTTGCCTTAAGGAACACCGATTTGCAGCTAACATATTTGTTTCCAAACAGTCTTTCATATCTGAGGAGAGAAGGGCCTGGGCGTTGGCAAGCCCCAAGCAACAAGAAGAAAACGCTTTCTCTTCGAGTTTGTATCTAACATTTCCTTTGTGTTTTGTTTCTACTCCATTACATTGAGTATGACCAGGCCTTCGCCCTAAACACCCAAATCTTCCACGAAAAAGCATGTCTGGACTCACGGCGCTGCCACCTTACAGCTCTGCCAGTCCCTAGTTCAAGGAGCATACATTTATAGGAAACTGAGTTCCAATCACGGAAGTGGGCAGGACGGAGCAGAGGACTGGAGAATGAACGCTCCGGTATCATGAGGGAGCATCCTGACGTCCTCCATGTTCACATTAATAAATACATTAGGCCCACCAGGAGTGAATCCTCAATTACATCTTCATTTAATATTTTAAAAATGAATGTGAAGGACCTGTCTTTTACAAATTTCATAAATTTATGGTGTCCACTGAAATTTTTCTGTGGTGAACCAAAGATGAGGAAAAAAAAGTAGGGAGATGAGACTCAGGATAAACAAACCCTAAATTACAGTATTTGGGGAAACATAACCTAAAACAGTCATGTGACAGACACCTCAGCCAGCTGTTAAGATAGAATTATCAGAGCTCATTTTATTCAAATCAGTGCTTGGAGGAGTTTATAGGACTGAAGAAGCAAAAATATATTTGTCCTGGGGTAAATTTTTTGGCCATGTAGCAAAGAATATGTTAATTCCAGTACATTTTTTCAGCAGGGAGCACTATTTTTCATCACAATAATATAAACAGTGTTTACTGGTTTTAACTTTCAGATTCAACTTTTATGCAAAATACCTTAAAACCCCTATTTAGGTCCTTTTAATAGATTAGGAAGCCCTAAAATTATCAAATGAAACGAAGGATAGACTGTTTTACAGGTCACAGAATAAGAGACAGAAGTTTTAAACATATTTTTAGAAGCAAAGTAAAGAGAAAAATGAAATCAAGAACATGGGGAACAAAGTCTTCATTTTCCACAGCGGAGTCAGTAATATCTGAGAAACTGGGTTTTTTTGGGTACCAGGGATCGAACTCGGGTCCTTGTGCTTGTTAGGCAAGTGGCAGAACCACTGAGCTAAATCCTCGGCCCCTAGAGTCAGTAATATCTTACACGAAGACATTAAAAAACACTAACAGAAGGCTATCTTAGAATAAAAGAAGTGACTGTCGGGAAAATGAAAACCAAATAAATAAAACAGGTATTTCTGAAAACTGAGACTGGAGATAGGCAGTATCTTCAACAAAGAACTGGTTTTCATTATAAACTTTTCTGTAACGTTTAATCAGTAGGCCTTTAATAAAATAAAAAGGGCAGAAAACAGAAGGGTATGTGAAAGTAATATAAATATCCAACAACAAAACAGTAAAATAAATAAAAGGTTTTTACCAAGTCAAAACAGACATCAACTGCCCTGCTATGACACAATGATCTTCATAATTTCTCTATTTGGACTCATTGCAACATAATACACACATTATAAAACAAAACAGTATTTATTCAAAAACCAGAATGCTATTTTCTCTTCCTAGAATCTGTACCTTAATGAAGAATCAAACCTTGTATTATTTTAATTTATAGAAAATTAGTATACAAATAATGGTTCACTTTCAGAACGTGAAAAATTTTCCAAAATGAATCACCAAGATCTCAAAAACCCAGTGTAAAATATATCAGTGGCAACTTCTATTTCCTGTCCCTGAGTATGGCAGGTGGGCACATGGAAACTGCTAATGTAATTAAGCAAGAGAATCCTTAAAATGGTCAATTAAAATCCTATAAAGAAGTACATATAATTAACGTGTTAAAAAGGGGACACATTCTGTCTCCTAGTTTCTAACCAATTCCAATGTCATTAGTGACCAGAACATTACAGTGACCCACAGCGCAAATACATGTTAATAATGCAGGATCCAAAATAATGCTGACTAAAACACCTCCTAACTAATAAGAGGACGTTTAAATGACGCAAAACTGTTAAGCACCAAATATCCATTTTCTTCAATAGAAGATAAATCATTTGTGTGTCGGCTGCTTTTTTTGTTTTTTACGGATTTGACATGCTTTCTCTGCAGTTTTGTCTGTTTGTGTCACTTCATCTGTCACTCTTCACACTTTCATGAGAGAAGTTACAGGAACAGCAGCCAGAAAAGTGTAAATAAATAAATAAAAACTTACTCAATTCCATGGTAATGACACACTAAGGCTTTTTCAAAAGGTAAGGCCTGGAGTTTCCGAGGACTAAGTTCTGGTGTCAAAGCAAAAGTCTTGTCCCTGCAATAAAAAGATTTTTATTAGTATTTAAAGTTTCTTTAGTGTTGGAGAAAGATTCTGAGGACACAAACCTGACTTCCTCCCTCCGTCTGAATTTGATGTCCAAGGTCACGGTGCCGCTGAAAGCCAGAGGAGGAAGGAGGCGGAGCAGGCCCGGGGGGCCTCCCGCTTATATACTTCCTACACTCCGGTTTCTGACATCAGGATATAGCCTACCGCACAAAACCACTGCGGGAAATGGACAGATCAGCAAAGCAAGTGCTTTGTAATGAAATCTCAGGAAGTAGTTTCATTTGTTTGTGTTTTTTTTGGTGCCGGGGATCGAACTCAGGACCCTGTGCTTTCGAGGCAGGCGGCAGCACCACTGAGCTAAATCCCTGGCCCAGAAAGTAGCATTATTTTTAAAAGTTCTTTTTTCTGTTTTGGTTTTTTTGAGGTAGGGTCTCACTCTGCAGCCCCGGCTGGCCTCAAACTCAGTGATCCTCCTGCCTCAGCTTCCCAAGTGCTGGGATTACAGGGGTGAGCCACCATGCTCAGTTTAAAAATTCTTTTTTTTGGTACCTGGGATCGAACTCAGGACCTTGCACTTTTGAGGCAGGTGGCGGAACCACTGAGCTAAATCCCCAGTGCCCAAAAGTTCTTTTTTTTCTTGGTGAAGTGCATTAATGTTTATTCATTTAAACAAGGGAATAATTCAAGTTAACTTTTTGGCAGGGGGATAATTAGAGTTAACTTGAAACTCTGGTAACAGCAGAAGCAACGCGTGTGGGACTCAGATCTGGTTGCCTGAGGGTGCAGCGAGCCAACCTCTAATTTCGGAGGGAACCACTTTCTACAGCCCAGCAAGCAGGCAGCCTGTGGACCTCAGTTCTCTCAGGCAGGTTCTCAGTCAGGAGCTATGCAGAACTGATCCTATGTGAAGGTCCACAAAATCTTCACACTCAACCCTTCCCCGCCCAGACCCGCGGGGGCCTGTCACACTTGGGGAGGAGGCAGTCGCTGCGATCAGAACTCGCTCCCGGGGTTGTTCTGCCTGAGTCAGGACCGCCGTTCTAATGGAGCACATCGCGGTCCCAATGTTCAGAATTTGTTACGTTGATGGGAGGACTGAGCGACCCTGAGCTTCCCGTGGCTAAAAGTATCAGGGAATCTGCATTCAGGAGGGATGGAAATGCTGCATAGAAAGGCAAAGACCTACTTGAGCGGCGAGAATAAATTCGCTGTCATATTCCCCTCCTATGACATTGGGAATGACAACTGCTCTTCTGCCACTGGAAATAATAGAGTATTATGAAAAGCAGTTCAAATTATTACATTAAAAGGTAAAGCGTGTGCTAATAAATCCTAAAAAACAGTCTTCATATTCTAATCTATTCAAGGTGTTACCAAAAAAAGTCATGAGTAAACTGCAACGACCCTAGTATTTTGATGACTGTCTATTAAAATGAATAAGTGCATAGAACAGACCCATTCAGGCATCTAGCATTTCACTCCTTTCCTTCACCATGTTCTCCATCTCTCATGTCAAGGCCCCCCTCAGCATCTTTTTAAAAATAAATTTCTCTTACGGCTTCTTCTAAATGACACAGTAACAAACGTGTGTGTTGTCACCGTGGGTCACTCCCTTGGCACAGGCAGGCATCAACTTGCACTTTATCCACCTTGGCCTTGGGGGGGCTCCTTGCCTGGGCAGATGTTTAGTCAGCGCACACAGCTTCCCGACTCAACCCAGAAAGCTCCTCCTCCCACTGTCACGTTAACAGAAGATACATCCGGTCACGGACAATACGGCTCTTTCTTAGCATCAAAGAATTGTATGCAACTTTCCCAAATAAATCACCTGTGAGCTATACAAAGAATTACCCTTATCCTGCATTGGAAAGACACTGTAATAAAAAGCATGTACCTGCATAAATAAATAATGCGGTTTTGGCACACTCGTTGGGCTGCCAGTTCATGCTTAATGGTTTGAAAGGACAGTAACCCATTAACTAAATAGAGGAAAATCTAGACAACTGTCTTAATTCCCACAAAACAGGTTATTGCTCTCTTAAAGCTCTGAGAAAAGGAAAATTACTCCAAAATTATTTCATTTTTACATCATTAAGATCAGTAAGTCATTAAGACCCAGAGTTATTAAAATGCTTTCAGAATTGCTCCCTATCTCTCTCTAGTGAACACACACAAAAGACATCAATGCTATCATAATATTTTTGAGATATAACAACCTTCCAATTAATCTTGAAAATTTACCTTCAGAATCAGAAGTCATCACAGTATAATTCAAAGCAAGCTTTGTTAAAAAATCAGATGTAGAATTTTTAAAGTCCCCTGGGAGTTTTTCAAAATAATGGATTAACAATTGGAACGAAATTGGATAAAGAGAAAATTACTAAATCTTCGAAAGTAACTGATGTCTCAATTGTACTTATTTTTCAGTCAACTGCAGCAACATCAGCATCCGTTAACCAGTAACACAAAGGAGTTGTCTCGGAATTGAAATTAGATGTAAATTATTCACACAGATGCTGAGGTCTTACTGGCTAATGTTATAGTATCAAAAGCCCTTTTATTACATTGCCCATCCTCTTCCATTAAAAGGCCCTGGTTTTTGCTAGTATTAGGCATAACTGACAATGATAATGCCAAGTACAGGCCAGTAAAAGAGAAAAGGATAGGCACCGGGGATTTAGCTCAGTGGTTTCGCCACCTGCTGTGCAAGCGCAAGGACCCAAGTTCAATCCCCAGTACCAAAAAAAAAAAAGAAAAGAAAAAAGGATGAAAAACATTATTTATTTGAAATTTGAAACATAATTGTTTCTGAAAAAGAACTGTCCTTTGGGTAGAAAGTAGAAGTTAGTGAATTCTACAAGGAATATGCTCAGGTTTCATTTATTGCTTCTATTACCCTTATATTCAATAGCACAAACCTGTAGGGCATTTGGATGATAGAAAAAAGTCAGGATTATAGTTGAGCATAGTAGCACTTGCCTGTAATCCCAGCACTGTGGGGGACTGAGGTGGGATGATTGAAAATTTGAGCCCAATGTGGAAAACTTAGCAAGACCCTGTCTCGAAATATAATCAAACAAACAAAAAGCTAAAGATGGGCCAGGAATGTAGCTCAGTGGCACAGCATCCACCTGGCAAGTGTGAGTCCCTGAGTTCGATTCCTGTTCAAAAACAAAAGCTAAAGATGCAGTTCAGTGAGAAAGCTCTGCTACCACTCCCAACCCTCAAAAAGTGATGATAAAGCCCAACTGATGAATACCGGAAGCAAACTGTGGCTTCTGCTGAAGCAGCACAGAGCATCAACAACCTAAAAACACAAGATGCAAGGTGGCTTTAATGATTCCTAAAAGTTAGCCGGCCGGACACCCTGCCTTTCCCACTTACCGCTTCTGCACGGGCAAAGGCTGGAGGTCCCCCAGCGGCAACCCATCGGAGGTGAAGTACTTCAGCAGCTCCTTCGCATCCAGCAGGCCCGAATCACGGGGACCCTCTTTAGGGCCCAGCAACTGCTCCGATGAACGAGGTAAAGAAGCAGCTCTGGAGAAACAATGTTGTCTAGATTTAGTGAAGGTGCGTGCGAATTCACCACTGCTGAGGAAAGGTGACAGCAACAGAAATCAGAAAAACACACAAGGAAAATGGAAGAATTATTAAGAAAAACAATGAAGTAAAATCTTTGCAACTCATTTAGTTTCAAACTATATTTTCAAAACATCTGTAGGCCACACTGAAACTTGGAGACACCACATCGACAAGTCTACTTAAATAAAAAATAAGCATAATTTCATTACTTATAAAAGATTGTATGTTAATTATTCAGTGGTATGAAGTTATCAATTCTACAAAACTGAAATCTAAACGCTCATGTTTTGAAACCCTGTATAGATTTGTACAGATTTCTGAGGGCAAGCGCTGAATGTTTCAATATTTTATGAACCTGAAAGATTACATAAAGCACAACCATGAAATGTGACAGCAATGGGAATTCTCTCCAAGGTCCACTGTGGCCATGATGACAGCATTCAGAATATCCCCTGGATCATTATCACGTCTGAAATATATACAGTACAGGACGCTACACTCGCAAACTGCTTTACACACAATATGCTCTTCATCCTGACAAATTTCCTTGAAAAAGACAGAATGGGTCTTATTTCAAAATGAAATAACTTTATGAAGTGAAAACCGAGCCAAAAAACAATCATTATCCCTATATTTTAGCTAAAGAGACAGGCATAAAAGAGGTTACATCACAGACCTGGGTGACACAGCTATTTAAAATGACACTCAGAACTGGACTGACTCCAAATTACTCACTACTTCTATTGTTACCCTATAAGCCAAAAAATTCACAGAAAGTTGTAAATACTGAAAAGAGGAAGACAGTTTTATCAAGCACTCAGTTATTATTCACCATAGCTCTGTCCTTATAACATAAATTATTATTATTCTTATTATTTGCAGGGTGTGGTGGCACGTGCTTGTAATCCCAGCACTCTGGGAGGCTGAGGGAGGAGGATCACAGGTTTGAGCCCAGTCTGGGCAATGCAGCTAAGTAAGCATAACATAAAAAGGGGACTGTGGATGTGGCTCAGTGTGAAGGCCCTGGGCTCCATCAGTACCACAAAACAAACAAACAAATCTTTCAATACTTGCACAAAAAACTGATTTCATAAATTCACGTGAATTTATTTCCTGTTTATTTTGTTACTCAAAATGAGCATTTTCATTGATAATCACATGATTAAAATACTGCCATGTTTTAGGCTCATACTTCTATACATTAAGGATCACTCTCATACTGACAGTGGCCCTTCCCCCTTTTTATTTCCTTTATTTTTAAATTGAAAATATAAATCTAATAAAAACAGCCAAACAAGAAAAGCCTCAAATGTATTCTCTGAACTTCATACTCCAAGAGAGCAGGAAGTGCATGAAGAGTTTAATTTAGTTTCTGTAAGCATCCTATCGAATGGTGACTTACAAAGGTTTCTTAATGAATATTACTCTCAATCATTTTGCAGACTAGATGCAGTGGCCAAATGTACAATTTGCATTTATATAGAACACGAGCACAAGGATATCAAAGCAATTTAAAAGCCTGGCTTGTGATAAATTATACTACCAAGATACTCTGGTTAAAAAGAATAACAACACTGACAACACCTTATTGTGCTCAGCGTTTTCGAGCTTGGAAGCTACTTTTTCATAAATTCTCTCGTTAAGTTTTCACAATTTTGAAGCAGACCTGGGATTTTTATCCCCATCCCACAGAGGAAACAAGAAAGTGACACAACAGGTGTGAGTTTAAAAGCAGACTCTGACTCTGTAATTCAGTGACACATTATTCCCTAATTAAATTTGTTTTAACACAAAGCAAATTCTAAAAAACATGCAACACAGTTTTTGTCCACAACCAGGATTTGATTCCAGATCTCTGATGTGTCCACAGCACTTGAGCACTTAGTCTGTGCACATCAGTACGGTGCCATAAAGAGAGTTCACCAGAAGTTTCAGGCCCACAACCGCTGCTCCTAACTGACTGAAGACATGACTTAAAGTCAGGGAAAAGAGGGAAGGGGAGTGGGAGACAGCAACGTACCGACGGGGAGTGAGAGAGACGTACAGCGAGGGAAGTTTCACGAAGCGGTAGTGGCACAGCCCTCAGATGCTTGGAGAAGGAAGCAGCATAGACTTGCAGTGTGTAGGAAAGGCTTCAAGACAAAGGCGACATCTGACCTGGACCTTGCAAGACAAACAAGCTTCCAGACCAAGAGGAGGTTAAACACACGCTTAAGCTCTCTAATCAAGTGAGCTGAAATCACGACACTGAAGTGGTGGCGATTAAATTCACGACAGGGTTGAGAGAGGAAGAAAGAAAAAAGTGGACCCAGGAGTTCAGTAAGTTTCAAATGGGATAAACTAGGGCAGGGATGGAGAACCTTTCAGAGCTCTCAATGCTAACAAACAGCAGGCTGTCGCACACGTGTCACAGGCTGGCCACCGCTGGACACGTCGACGCAAAAGGTAAAATCTGTCTTCTTCCCTCACCCGGGAGCTGTGGTGGGACTCAACTTGTGGGTCACAGAGTGGCAGCGGGCATGAATGGCGGCGCCAGATGTAAGACCTGCACACAGAACCACCTCCCACACCCCCAGCCAGTGCTGCTCATCTCCGAGTTCTTACAAACCCAGAAACTTCCCTGGGGGCACCGCCTCGCCCCTGTCCCAGAATAAAGCCCCAACTGGGTGTAGGGCGAAGGGCCAAGTCTGCTTCCCGCTGTCCCCGCTATGTGCTCTGACAGCTCAGCCCCGCACACCCCTCCCCAGCAGGACAGCAGGGGACAGCAGGTGGGGACCAGGACCAGGGGCGGAGAGAAAACACACCACAACCTGCACCCAGCAACCTGGTCCTGATGTCTTACAGGCAGCCCGGCACTGCGGGACACTGGAGAATGAGGGAAAAGAGAAGTCCGGAGGGGCAGATAACAGCTCGGAGCAGCAGGAGATCATTCAGAACACACATGTAAGTGAACAGAGAAAAACTACTGCATATCTTCACACGATCACCTCCAATCTCAATATGGCTGAAAGGTCATGTTCTATGAAACAATAGGATAGGAATACAAGGAAATGTATTGGGAATTAAGACATGAGTACTACTACTGAAAAGTTTAACAGAAATGAGGAATGAGGAAAGCAAAGGGAAGGAAATATCTACCCCAAGACATACAGCCCAAAGGGTGAAGAAATAGATTTCAGAGAGAAAAATCAAATTTTGAATTTAAAATATCCAGGATGTTTAACATGAATTAAAATAGGTATTACTGAGAAAGAAGAAAACAAGAAATTTGAGGGATCATTATTGAAGAAATAATAAAGTATCTCCCAGAGCTGAAAAAAGATAAAAATCTTGAGACTAAAACATCCTATAACCATGAGCTCGGGTAATTTCAAAACAGTAAGGAAAATGGAAAATGCTAAAAGTTTTAGTGACAGAATAAAATACCTATTAAGGAACAAAAACTGACCTGGCACCAGACTTCTCTTTAAGATAGGAAATCCAAAATATCCAGAACCAATCTAAGAACTCGGGCAAATCAAATCCCGGGATAACTCTCGGCTGTGCGGGGAGGAAGCGTTGGCCCAGCTTAGCAGGAAGTCAGAGAGGGTGAGGACAAGGGCTTCAGCAGCAAAAAGCAGGACAGAAAGGGGAGAGAACTAGGGGCGGTACTTCAGCTTCCCAGGGGAAGACAGCAGACTGTCTGAAGTTGGGGGCCAGCAAATGGAGGGTCTCGGTCCTCACTCTTCTCTCGACTGTCTTCTCCAGAGCCTATAAACACTCCAGAGCCCCACGGAGAGGCCTCCGTCCTTCCTCCCCTCCTCGTGAGCCTGCGTGTGACCTCATCCGCCACCCTGGGCCTTGAGGCTCCTCCGAGGCTGACTGAATCGAGCTGTGCACTCGCCATTTCCTCTTGGAGAATTTAGAGCAAATGCAGCGCCTCTAAAGCATGCTTGTAGAGTTCTCTCCAGAACTGTTCTCATGCCCAACATCTCAGCAGTCTTGTCCATTTCATAGTGAGAACATCACTCACTGTGTGGTGAAAGCCAGAAGTCCAAACTGTCTTGGATGTTGCTGTTTCCCTGTCCCCGTCCAATCCATCACAGGAAGGCTTTTTCTGGCTTAGCAACAAAATACACCCCAAAGTTCTCCAGGGCTCTAGTGTGAGATCCCTGTCCCTCACTTAGCCTACAGAAATCAGTACCTAATGGACCTCTCTGCCCTCAGTCTCTCCCTCTGCAATCTATTTGCCAGAAAAGAGCAAAATTCTTTTACAAAATCAGATCCCATCACTCTTGGCATGAATCCTGCAGAAGTGTTATCAACGTGCCCCCATACTATGAGCCTTGTGCTTCCCCCGGTGCCCAGTGGTTGGTGCTCAGAGAATATGTGCCGACATCCATGAAGAAAAAGTGTGGCAAGTCATAAAAGGATACCAACAGAGGAGCTAAGGATAAAGACGTGATTTGCAACATCTGGGACGAGGGGGCCAGTAAGACAGTTTTGCTTCCACCATTTAACAATGAGGTACTTCGTGCTAGCTGTGTTCAGAGCAGAAAGCCAAAACCACAAGCACGAACACCGCCTCTGGGACTGAGGTGGTGGGGGACATGTGAGCACACAGACACAAAACAGGAACCAAGTGGCTTAAGCAAGGAAACTACATCCATGTCATTTAACATGCTCCCAGACTGCATCTTCTCATGCATTCACACACTTGTGCGTGTCTATGAAGATGGTCCGGAAAACTGTACCCTAAAATGTTCACTGTGATTACCTACATCTGAAAAGTGCAGAGAAGGTAGAGGAAGGCAAGCATTTCCCTGTTCACTGATATACTACTCTTGATTATCCACTTACAGGAGGCGCACATTTCTTCCATAGTACAACTACAAACTACTCATATGTCATAAAAAGGAAGGATTAAGGGGCTGGGGATGTAGCTCAGTGGTGCCACCACCTGTCTCAAGGTCCTGAGTTCGATCTCTGGTACCAAAAAAAAAAATGAAGGATTAAGAAAGTTCATTTAAAAAGATTGAGCTATAGCATGATCTCTTATGGACTCAAATATTACCTCATTTTTTGTCTAGCTTTTTCAAAAGTTTCCAAATTTTGAAGAACATGCTTTTCTGGCCATCCCAAAGAACTGGTTTCCATTAGATTTGAAGAGTCAGGTTCTACTCGACTGGCAGCTAAAGAGAAAGAAAAACCCATAAGAACTGAAAATAATTAATACACTGAATTTTGCTACTTAAAAACGTATAAATATAAGTATGCAGATACATACATACATACTGTGTTAGTCACATAGGACGTGACTCAGGCATTTATGAAAGACCTCCCTGGGGGCCTAAACTGTGGGAAATGCCATAGAGAAGTTTGTTGGAAATGAAAATGAAATAGCTTATCAAATAAAAGTTACTCAGAAAACTGAAAAGTCAGCACTGTTAGGACTCATGGAATAAAAGCACAACTGTTATTTTTAGTGAAATTATTTCTAAATGAAAAAGAGGCGACTCTGTAGAGAACATACCAGATGCACTATGTGATTTTCATACTACAAACTGGAATCAGTACAAGTAGATTGGAAAAGTTCACATTCCAAAATTCCAAATCCCCAAAAGAGACTACTTCACTCTCAAGGTACAATAATAAAATGACAAATATAGGGGTTGTTCTCAGGTAGCGGCTACTTTAGGAATAATCCTTATTTTTAAATTAATATAAGAACCCTAACAAGTATCCTCAAATCCCTAACATTCCAAGCATCATTTTACTACTGCCATCTGGATTGCCGTCTTGATTGGTGGAAGCCACTCCCGGGTGTCTCTGGGTGGGTCACGAGCACGTGACCTTAGGGACCATAGCTAGTCCCAGGCGCTTTCCCCTCTGAACCTTTCCCGCCCTCTCAGCGAGTCAAGCGGCTTCCTCCAGCCGGCCCTCCACCATGAACCTTCTGCTTTGGAGCCAGCCAACCATGGACTGAAACTTCCAAAGCCATGAGCCAAAGTAAACCTCTCCTCCTTTAAGCTGTGTCAGATATTTTTCCTGCAACAGGAAGCTGACCCATGCAATTACTAATAAAATATTATATGTAAGACTGTCTTTTTCTAGCTAATATGCTGCTGTGAACTGCAATAAGATTGTTCGTAACATTGGGACCCTAAACAAAAGTCTGAAGGGACAATTTCTTTTCTCATTAGAAATTATTAGCACACCCAAACTGTGTCAACACTGGCAAAATTAATGACTATACTACTTTGTTTTTGAATTCTAAAATTATCTGGTTTTAAACCTTTTGAACTATTACATAATGGTTCTAATAATCAGCTGAAAATTACTGAGTATAAGCTGTTTAATCATCAACCCTGACAGAGATACTTGTTTTAAGATTTGGAGTGATCTTTTAAAAAAAGGATTTGGAAACAGCCCAAGTGCCCATTAACTGGAAGCTATTGGATAAAGAAGATGTGGTTTTTTAATAAAATGGAGTACTACTCAGCCATAAAGAATGAGAAACTAGAGTCATTTATAGCTAAATGGATGCATATTGAGTCCATCCTCTTAAGTGAAATAAATAGGACACACGTGTGTAAATCCTGAATAGTTTCTCTAGTGTGAGAAACTGAAAGTGTAAATAAGGATACACACGGATGAAATGGCCTAATAACATATTTCTCGGATTGTGTTTCCATTGTGTGTCATATGACTGTATCAAAATTTAAATTAGGGAGAAGCTTGGCTTATGTGGAGTCTGCTAGCTAACTGGAGACTTTTTCCAGACCACTATTTGTTCAGTGTTGGTTTTGGGGACCTTTCTGAAACAAATCACATCCTCTGGTGTCTTGTTGGTGCTTGAGATGCTTTTTTAAGTTATATGGAAAAATGTTTAAGTGCTTTTCAGTTTTGTTTTGGTTGAGTTCTACGGTATTTGAATATTACTGTATTTTTTCCCCTTGCACTGTTCTTCTTTGAATGGTTTTAATTTTTGTATGTGTGTGTGTTAGATAATAAAGTTTTGGGTTTTGGGGGGTTTTTTTTTTGGGTACCGGGGATTGAACTCGGGTCCTTGCGCTTGCGCAGCAGGTGGCAAAACCACTGAGCTAAATCCCTGGCCCAATAAAGTTATTTTTTTAAAAAAAAGATTTGGTAAAAATATTTTTCAACAATGAAAATGGAACTCTGTATATTATTTTCCCTTATTAAACTATTTCACATTGAAGATTTAAGAATACCTTCAATACCTATAAGTGCATTACTCTCTCCAAACACCATACAAATATACCACTTCCCACTTCGTAATAAAGGTAGTGAGATACTATTTCATAGTGTCATGAGATTTATAATAATGTAGTAGGCTTCTTAGGGGACATATGGCTTTCCACTAAGGGGAAAATCAGTAGCAATTTTGCACAGTTGCATGCTTTGAATTCATAAAGGAATGGAAGCCATCTTTTAAAAAGTATTAAATTGTCCTTAAATATTACAATATAATTAATTTTTAACCTTGCCTATACAACCTACATGAATATAAAGGACATAAGTGAAATATTTAAGAATAGGCAGGCAAACGTTTGTAGATGACTCATCTTCAATATAATCCTTACAGCAAAATAAAGCACAACATTTCATTTATGGGTCAGGGCACTATTTCATGCTGACACCAGAAAGGCACAAAACCAAGAAGACAGTTTTTAAAACTTTTTTAAAAAAAATGTTTTATTTTATTGGTGAACAAAGAAATAAAACCAATACAACAGGAAAATAGAGAGTAGGGACTTATAGAATCTCATGTCACACAAACAGAAAGGAAGTGGTATCCCCGGTGACAGGAAGTAGTTAATGAAGATAAGCTCTAATCTCATACAACTACATGTAAGTCACAAAGAAAAAGTTACATTATCACTGGTATAATCTGTTTAATAAATGAGAATTACGAGTGCATGCTAGAAGATTCATTTTTAAACGCCTGAAATGATAAAATTACGGCCTTGCAGAGTGTGCCAGCACACTCACACACGCCATGCTCAGTGTGCCCAAGGGTGCCTGTAAAGGGGACCATCTCTGTACGTGAGTGCGGACGTCACAGGTGCCACTGTGAACATTTCACCAACTCTGTGGCAGTGAGTACACAGATGAAGGAATTCTCTACGTAATGACTTCTTACCTGTTACACATACTAGAGTTTTCGTAAAAATGAGCCGACCAAATAACCTTACCAAGTGCTAATAACTCCTAAGGAGTGTGGCTGCAAATGGAAGACAGGGCCAAGATAGGAAGCCTGGCTGGCCTTGCTGTCTCCACAGGTAGGGTGATGCTCATGGAGATACACGCACTCAGGTCAGAGCCATGCGGGTGTTCAACATCCTAACTTCATTGCTGGAGCCATGCTCAAACTGACAGCCTGTCAGGTTGCAGCTCAGACTCTGAACATCTTCAGTTTCTTTCATTCATGTAATGAGTATTTCAGGAAGCTCCCCCCGCCCTGTGAGCCAGGCTCCACGGATGCTGGAGCTGGCAAGTAGGCACACGCTTTACTCCCAGAGAACAGGGCTTGGAGAGAAGACACATTCCATAAAGAATTGCACAAATAATACGCAACCAAACTGTGACAAGTGATTTGAAGGAAAAGGATAGGGGACAGTACAAGAAGAGATAATGTAAATGGAGCAAGGTCTGCGAAAGCCTCTCTGACATACACCCGAGGAGCGACAATCAGTGAACTGGGCAAGAGGTGGGGGACCGAGTTGCAGGCAGAGGACACTGCGGCTGGAGGTCGTGCGGGGGGTCAGGGGAGGCCCGTGGCTTGTCCGAGGGCCGGAAGCCTCAGCAGCCGTCAGGAAACAGACCTGCGACTGGGATGAGCACGAGGCCAGGTGGCCTACAGATGTCGCGGACGACACACCGCGTGCACCAGGCACAACCAAAGGAGGGGACCCTCCTGCAGCTCGGGGGGACAAAGCGTCCTAGGACCCGACCCCCCAGGAAGCTTTCGGTGCCTTTCCCTAAAGGGCCTCGCACACTTATTCGTGCTCCTCCCACCTTCCAACCCTTCATCTCCTGTGCAGACCGTGGGAGAGGCAGCCTCTCTCCCTTCCTCACTTTCCACTCCTCACCTTCAGGACAGGGTGTGCTGTTTCTCCCTTTGGAAAATCCCGCCTTATCCTTCTACTGATGTGAAGCGCCACTCAGGACCTCCATCAAGTCCCTGGCTCCTACCAAAGACTCCTGCGACTGCTCCACCCTAAGTACAGTTCTCTTTTCTAAACCTACACTGAGTTACTTCACCAAAAACTGTGTGGCACTTACTTCACACCAGGCAACTTTCTAAGTCAGCTTCAAGTAATTAGTTTTGTCTTCACAGCCACTGTCAGCTCCAAGTTAAAGGTCCGGAAACATTCCCACAACTGCAGACCCACAGCCAGGGAGCTCAGGGCCAGCTTGGAACCTGGCTGCCACCACAAGCAGTGCTCCTGCCTCGACTCTGCCTCGACTCATGCACATTCCCCATCCGCAGTGCCCTCATGTCTCCAGGGCCATTCCAACGATGCCGGCTGCTACTGAACTTCGGTACTGACACGGAGCAAGGATGAGAATAATGCAAGCAACAGCCCACCCTCCCTGGCGCCTGTGTGCCAAGTGCTTTCCATGCACCCACTCCTTTAACCCTCACCAGAGCCCCGGCCAGTGGCTGCCTTGTTCTCCCACTCAGAACACAGGGAACAGGCATACAGGTTAAATAACTTTCCCAAACTGTTCGGGTAACAAGTGACGACACTGAGACTGGACCCTGACCAGAGCCTGCACTCTCACAGAGCGTCTCAGGGAGTGCAAGGACCACCCCACGCGATGCTTTTGTGTCTTGTCTGCAAACAGACCATAACCTCACTGAAAGCCAGGGACTGGGCTTCTCGCTTCTGTGAGTACCTTCATGGCGTCAAATACACAAAAGGCACTCAGAAAACATTACTGCTAATTTGATTCTCTGATCATTTCCTCATTAACCCATGCAACAAAATTATTCTCACAAAATAAAAGCCAAAAATTGTCCTCTACATTTAAAATTGTGCCAAGCGATCTTCAAATGCTTTCTTAGTAGATACAGAAAAGCTTTGCTCTATTCAAATTCATCACAACAACACAATCCAGGAAAACAGAAATCCAATTAAATACAGAAATGATTTTGTGCCTCCTCAGTGTATTTTGGTGACTGTCCCAGCCCTAATGAATGGCAAATGTGATACATCTTATCACTTTAAATTTTCTTTGTAGATTTTACTTTCTTCACTTACTGAAAACATAACACAGTAGAAATCCACCCATTCTGGCAGCTTAGCAAGGCTAATAAGAAAGATCACCTAGGGCCTGGGATTTAGCTCAGTGGTTTCACCGCCTGCTACATAAGCACAAGGACCCGAGTTCAATCCCTGGTACAAAAAAAAAAGATCACCTTGTAATGCTTCTCCCTCTGCTCAAAAACAATTACACTGAACATACTTAAGGAAAGATGTTACCAAAAAGTACAGCGCATACATGCAACGTGATCAAAAATTACAGTGAAAGTTTCAATTTAAAAAAATTACAATAAAAGATACATTGACATTAGTACCCCTCAAAATATTCCCCCTTCCTTTGAACACATTTATTCCATTGGTTTTGCCACTTTCTGAAGCAGCTCTGGAATCCTCTTTCCTGAAATGTCCTCAGTTGTGTTGTCCTGGCAGCCTTGATGTCCTGAGTCAATTCAAATGTTTACCTTTCATGGTCATCTTCACTTTGGGGGTAAGCTTGAAGTTCTATGCTGCCAGATCTGGTGGATAAGATGGAGGAGGCACAGCGTCATGTTTTTATGAGGCTACCTTTTTGTGGGATGGCACTTGGCAGCAGCATTCACAGTTGACCACACCTCATAGAGACACTCAGGAGAGAGCACTTCCAGAACTGCTTCAGAGTGGCAAACGCCATGGGATAGTGTGTCCAAAGTGAGGGGCACATTTTGAGGGAGATGGCAATGTGCCTTTTGACTGCAATAAATTTTTTAAAATTTAAACATTCACTGTTGATGGTCCTTTGTGTACATATATGCTCATATATAAAATATGCATTATTATTTAAATTTATAAAATCCATTTGGATTTGACGAATACATCTTAAAAGTTTTAATAGCTACCATAGATGCTACAGACAAAGAAAAGAACAAAATTTAAAGTAATAAAAAACTTACCATTTAACACAGCTGAGGTTTTAATTTTATCTATCTGTCTTAGAACCGTTTTAGGAGTAAGAACATCAAAATGATGAAGAAAGCGTTCCCTCGTGAGTCTTAACAGACTTTTGAGTTCATCAGCAGAAAATGCTACGGGCTCCTTTGCCAACTTTCTCCTTTCTGCAAGACAAATCAATCTAATTAACCGTAAGACTTTCTTTCAAGTCTCTCTAGAGTTCATCTACTATTCTTTCATGGAAAATACTTTCAAAGGTAAAACAGGTGAATTTCTCCAGCAAATCAACATTCCTAGGCAGGCATACTTTCATTTTAATCTGATTTGTACATAATGGGAGAATTTCCAGTTAAGTGAGCTAAGGAGAAACAGGGTAATTTGTTAACACCAAAAGTTGACAAATAATAAAGAAAGGTTTATGGAAGGTTTTAGAAATATATTGCAGAGGATTAAAAATGGTCAGTATGGGGCCGGGGATTTAGCTCAGTGATTCTGCCACCTGCCTCGCAAGTACAAGGTCCCAAGTTCGATCCCTGGTACCAAAGAAAAAAAGGTCATATGTTGATACATACATGAAACTAAAACTTGTTAGACTTTTTGGATATTTCTCAAAATCTAAGAGCACAGAAAAGGAACAAAACAGGACAATAAAATAGAAAATGATAATGACACTTTGAAACAAATTTTGGAAGACACAAATGACAGCAGCATGGTGTTATGGTGTATACCTAGGCGTCCCCCTAAAGCCTCCTGGCCTCACACACAGACAGGGCTGGTGGAAGGCAAGTAGAGTGTGGGGCTCACAGCTGACGGGTGGTTAGGAGGCGGGGTCTGGTTGGAAGAGGCAGCTGCGGGGCACGGCTGAAAGGGGGCATCTCCCTCCCTAGCTCCTCCCTTCTCTCTCTACTTCCTGTGCACCATGCTGAGAGCAGTGCTCCTCTGCCAGGCCCCTCTGCCATGCGGCCCTGCCTTGGAGCAGCCGACTATGAACTGAAGCATGAGCCAAAATAAACCTCGTCTTCCTTCAGTGGGTGTCAGGTGCTTTGCTCTAGCAATGAGAAGATGATTACGGTACCTGGTAACAGAGTGGCAGAGCAGGGGACGGTCACCTTGGGGCCATCCCTGCCCTGGGATGCTGATGGTAGTAAGCTACTGTCCCATTCGGGACTCGATATCCTGCTCCCTCCCCTAGCCTCCAGCCTCCAGCCCTCAGAGCCCAGCAGCTCTGCTTCCATTTTTGTTTAATAGTCCCAGACTATGGGACATTGGGTATACTGAAAAGTAACGCTGAAGCTGGGTTCAAAGCAAGGGATTAAATGCAAGGCTGTATACACAGGACTGAAGGTCACACTTCAAGCCCTGCCACTGGATAGCTAGCAGCTACGAAGCCACGTTAGAAAGACTAGAGGACTCTCCTCCTGAAACACTGAACACCCTGAGAAAAGAGCCTCAGATGCTGACATTGGGGTAGAAGTAGGAGCTCATAAGCAGATGTTGAATTTTCATCTGATCACTCTCCAGTGATGCTTGCTGGATATACAGAATGACAGGAAAGACACCAGACACTGAGGGAAAGGTGTTGAGGGGAGGGGATTCTCAGGCCCCAGGCCTGCCTGTGTGCACACATGCAAGGACCAGACTCCAGGGCCTGCTCCCTCCCGTCTCGCTGAGCAAGTCAGGAACGAGGCATGCTTTGGCCACCCCTTGCTGTCTCACCCACTGGACCTGTCCAGCCTGCAGGGTGCAAACTCTCTGCTGCCTGCTAAGGGGCTACAGTAGTCTACAGCAGGTGAGGTCGCCTGCAGGCGTGGTCGATGGCGCCTTCACTCTGACAGCTATTCAATAGCTAAGCTCAGTGCTCAGTGTGTCTATAAGAAATCAAGCGAAGGTCTTCACCTGCAATTTATCTCCATTTGTATGTTTCTTAGGCTTATTTCTAAATTGGTTCCAACTTTGGGAGGTGAAGAAGGTATCGCTGTGATACTCCAAACTAAAAAAGTCCAAGATGAAAAAAGATTTAAAGCAAGCAGAGTATAAAAAGGAACTCAGCAGAAATAAAACTATTGCAGGGAACAAAAGAAAGCCTGGATAACTAATATTCTCATAGATCTGAGAGAAGACACCAGAACAAGCTCAGGATGCTTCGATAAAGGGAAGATCAATGAACAAGCAAGGACTCTTCCAATTAAGCAGATGGGGTTTTAAGAAACCCCACACCTGGGTTCTAAAATGAGCTGAAGATGGCCCTAGAAAGTAGAACAAAAAGATAACAGAGAAATAGGAAAGAAAATCAAGCATTTTGTCTAGAAGAGCCAATATATAACTAATAAGAGTCCTAGAAGGAAAAAGAGAATTAGGAAAAAGAAAATTTGGAAAGAGATAAGACAAGAACAACTTTCAGACTTAAGGATATGAATCTTTTCTTAATGGCACATCAAGCACACAGCTCAACCAGTGAGTGTCGAGGGGAGGTCTTGGGAATCCAATACACACTTGGACCCGTGAGGCTTCTGTAGAAAAAGAGCCCAGGGAGGAAGCGAAAACAAGCCAACCAAAAGAAGCACTTCAAAGACTAAGAATGTTACTAATTTCTCAACCAGAACAGAGAAAAGCAGGTAGAATTGGAGCAAGGTCTTAAAAATTCTGAGGGTAAATAATTTTCAATCTCAAATTTCATATTAGTTATCAATCAAGTAAAAATACTTTCAGACATCCAAGAACTAAAACAAATTACCCTTTATGAATTTTTAATTAGGAAGCTCCTAGAAGCCATGCTTCTGAAATAAAAAGAAAAACAACAAAACAAGACTGTAATCTAGGAAAAAAGAGAATAAGGGGTTCGGGAATAAGGAGATTCCAAAAGAGGAAAGAGACATCCCCAAGGTTTCAGCAGGTCTCAGCAAGGAGCCCACAGCTAAGCAAAATACGATATATGCCCCCAAAATAATAATTAACAGAGAAAGGAGAAAGAAACTGAAGTGTTTGAAGACACAATGGATGCTAACACTGGGCAAGTGGCAGTAATGCCAGAGCCTCTACCGAAACATTTTGTCTGTACACAAGCTTGGCAAATTAAAAATGAGGTGATTTGATCATCACTGTGTATTACATGGCTCAGGGCCAACTTATTTATATAGTTGTAACAATGTTCAACTCACCACTGACTTGCCCCAAGTTAACAGCTTCACTGTAGGGCTCAACAGAAGGACAAGGAAATGTGGTCTTTATCTACCCCCACTGGGTGTCAAGGAGTGGTTGAAACTGCACCAACCCCAGTGCGCAGGCTAGCGAGGGAGGTCCCACCGGGAATCTCAGTTCACAGGCAACGAGAAAACAAACTGAAACTGGGTGCTCTTGAGAAAGGCAAGGGGATTCGGGTGCAGAAGTGCACACAGTGCCTCCCGAGGAGCAGGCCGAGCATAAGACTGGCCCCAGTCTCCACAGCCTGACGGGGCAGGAGGCAGGTGGGGCACTTGTTGGAGGCCAACAAGCACAGAGGTGTCGCCTGGAGAGAGGACACGGGGACAGAGCGTGTGGAGAATCCCCAAAGCACAGCTCTGCAGCAGAAGTGATCTTCACTGGCAGCAAGAGAAGGGGAGAAAAGGCCAATTTAGCAATTCAGGGCAAAAGCTCCAGTGAGTATTAGTCACTGCCTTACTCGTTATAAAACTGAAATGTCTTGTGGCGTTCTCACACGTACCACGGCTTAACAGGCCTCACACACCAGAATTCAGATCACGAAGAGCTGATAGAATATTTCTGTTGGGCAGTCCTGATTTAAGAAAAATTATAAATGAATATGGTAACATTGAGGAAATCCCTGTCGTCTCTGGTCAAGCAAGACATACCTGTGGCAGGTACAATTTGTGCTAGCCATGAAGGCAACAGCTGAGGATAAAGAAGCAAGGTCGACTTTGTATCTTTAGTCTTGACTATGCCAATTAGAATTTCCTGTATCTGAAATGCTGCCTTGTACTTTTAAAAGGTATTGAGTGTGGTGAATGTGTAATACCGAATAAAGAATATGCAACAGTTCTCAAAAGAAAAAGCAGCATATACACATTATTGAGATGTTTTGCAAGAGAGAAAGGGATGGGAAGGAAGGGGATGCAAAAATAAACAAATAAAAGATAGATAACGGGAAACAGGGAGGCAGGTCCTTTGCAAAAGAGAAGGGGACTAAAAGGTAGAGGGGTATTTATTTTGCATCATACTAAACTGCATCTTGTTTTAAAATTGTTCAGCATGCTTGGACTTTTTCTTGAAAAGTCACTGAAACACAGCATCAGTAAAAATCTGTCGAAGTACAAAAAGCTCTAAATAAAAAAACAGGTAAAATACAAAACTTCAAATTTTATATATCAGCATTCTAATATCATACTAGATATAATCTTCAAAACAAGTGAAATTAATGATGATTTATTTAAAAATTAACCTCTAACAAATTTTATTTGATTTGTGTTCTTGTAAAAAGCAATGCATCTCAACAGTGTCACCAGTGAGCTCATTTTTGTGAGAAGCTTTTCTTTCCCCTTTGGTACTGCTCAGGGAAACAGTAGAAACTCAGTAATGTAATCTACTCCATGTTTTGTTGATAATTTTGAAGAAATCTTTTTGAACAAGTTTTGTTTTTCTGCAAAATCCAGTCTTCATATTAATATCAAGCTACTGGTTTGCTCCAAAGAGAAGCGTTGTGTTACACTCAGCTTCCACCAGATTCACCGTATCCATCTAAACCCTGTGCATGCTGATGTATTTGGAAACCGAGTAGGTGCTCAGCCCTGCACTGGACCCTCTGCTTGGCTGTCACACAGGTTCCCCTGCCTGGAACACAGGATTTCTACACGGAGCAGAGCGGCCATCTGCTCACTGAGGATCTCACCAGGAGTGGGTCCACGGGACCACTAACCTGCACCATGACTATGTGCTGTGACCGCAGATTGGCAAGGAGCTCACAGAAATGACAGAGCTTCCAGCTCCAAGGCTTCCCTGCCTTTTCCTGGAGCTGGGGCACCACGCAGCTGCACATGTGTATAGCCCGCCCGTCCCCACCCTGGTCCACCTGCCCTCCCCACTCTGGGGACTGTCCCCGCCCTCAGCAGCGACCTTGCTGGAGCTGTCACCACCTTCCTCCCCTGGCTACCCAGACGGCGGCCCTGCCAGAGCCTCTGGTGTCCCCAAGGAGACTCAGTTGGCTCAGAGCTCCCAGCTCCACCACACTCTCGGTGCTGCGGGCTGGGAGAATGAGGAAGAGAAGCGAGAGCAGACACTGAGCTAGGCATGGGGGCACACACTGGTCATCCAGCCCTTGGGGCCAAGGCAGGGGGATCGCTGGGAACTGAGGCCACTCTGGGCTCCAAAGCCGGCCTGGAATATGTAGTGAGACCCTGTCTCAAAAAACAAAAAACAAAAGAAAGAAAAGAAAAGGGAACAGAACAGAGATGTTGAAGGAGCTGGTATAAAGCTTCAGGAGGCATATGGGAAGGAAATCAGGCCTTGGAGGGAACCTGGCAGTGACAGAAGAGTGTACTACTGTAGTCTGATGTGTGGAATCAACACTCCACATCCACAAAAGCACCAGCATGTCAATACACTTTTTTGCCTAAGTTTTTATATGTACTACTTTTTATTGAAACTGATTTGCCCTCCTAATTACATTTGCCTTGAATAAACATCATTTTTGTTTTTGGTTAAAAACTAAGGATAAACAATCACCCTGGCTTTACACAACTGAAAATGTCTGTAATCCTTACGTGAATAATTAAGGCTCAGTATTTTAGAAATGTCTTCTATTGAATAAATAGGCCACTGAATTTAAGTTATTTTAAAAGTGATTTTAAACAAAAGAATATTATTTTATAATATATGTCGTTTGAATATTTTTTCTAGATGAAACTAAGGTCTTACAATTTTAATGAGTTTCTTGGAAATTATATATCAATGACACGCTTAAAATAAGTTCGTATTGGGCCATAATGCATGCTTAAGATTTATTTAAAAAATTAAGACTGATAACTAAATAATAGAGCTAAACCCTTAAATTATGATACTTGAAACAAAAGTATTAGCTGGGCATGGTAATACACACCTATAATCCTAGCACTCTGAGAGGCTGAGGCAGGAGGATCACAAATTCAAGGCCAGCCTTGGCAATTTAGAGACCCTGTCTCAAAATTAAAAAGAGCTGGGGACATAGCTCAGTGTGAAGGACCTGGGTTCCATTCCCAGTACTGTTGAAAGGAGCAAGCAAAAAAGGAAGGAATGGAGGGAGGGAAGGAAGAAGGGAGGGATGGAAGGGAATAAAGGGAAAAAGTATTAATTTCTCAAACAAGGAAAATCCATAATGCCAACTTCACTCAGTATGAGAAATGCGCTTAAGTTATTATTATTGATGGTCACAATTAAAGTCTAATAATCAATGCTCAAGTAACAATTTCTCTGGATTTGCTTTTTTCTTTTGGTACTGGGGATCAAACTCAGGTCCTTGGGCTTGCAAGGCAGGCGGCGAAACCACTGAGCTAAATCCCCGGCAGGATTTGCATTTTCTCCTATTTGCAGTCTCTACCCTCCAACTACCAAAACTATATAAAAGGTTATACTATATAAATGAATAATAAAACTTCTGCATTTTTTCTATCATACAATCAAAAACTAATTATGAAACACAAAATTTGCCTGGCAAGATATTTGTTTAGATGTTAACAGTGACGTATGAATAAATAGGAAGATTCTGAATCTGGTAAAAATAAAGTGTAGACCTCTTCTTCTCCACATCATGGGTATTGAGAACAGTTCTATAAATGTGTGACATCTAAAAGACAAAGTGTATGAGAACAAGTGTACAAATGGAACAGCCGGTGTCTCAGCTGATCCCGTCCCAACTGTGGAGTGAAATGCAGACTCTACTCACCCAGGCATTCTTTCAACACTGATGCTTGAGCAGTGGCTAAATGCTCCTCTCTCTGTACAACCTGCTCCCCAGAGAAATTCGGAAGTGCTAGGAGGTCAAAAGGACCACCTGAGAAACAGAAAACATTCAACAGGGAAGATATTGGTATGCGAACAATTAGCGTTCAGTTCCTAGCAATGTGTTGTGATGCACTTAAAAAAATAAAAGTCACTCGCCTCTCTTGAGTTTACATATTTCAAAGTGACACTCAAGCAGGGGAAATAAGCATACTACATTGTTTTGCATTTTAAACTTTGACCCAATTCTTAATTCTTTTGGGGAAATTTAGGTACCAGAGTAGAATTCCTGACATATTTTTACCAATCTGTTCAGAACACATGGAGGGAGGAGGGGACGTTGTTTTTATAGGGTCCTCCCTGTCTGGTCCCACGATGAGCCACCCTGCTGTTACTCCCTTGTGTGGTCCCACAGTGACTGTGACTCATGCAGGACGGTGTCGGGACAATCCTGCCGAGACAGCCTCTCTTCTACCTCCCGGCTCTCTGCAGACTGAACAGTGTACCGGGGCTGCGTGACCCTAATTTAGGGAACAACTTGGGCTTTGTTCCTGTCTCCCCTCTAAGCCGAGGTCTTTGCAGCTTTGCCCAGTGAGTCCCACAGCCCCAGAGGGACAGAGACACAGGACCTATCACCTGTGGGTTCTGCAGCTGCAGTGCAAGCAGTACACATACAACAAGGACTCCACTTGTCCCGCATAACTTTCTCAACCACGGGGAGCCAGCTCACCATGGACCCTAGGGTCTTCTGCCCACTGCTGCCTACTGTTTGCACGTAAGCTGTTGTCTGAAAGTGTGTTCTGTCTCACTGGACTCAGATCAGTAAGCACCACAGAGGACCCCAGTGAGCTCAGTACTCCTGGAGCTGGCACAGCCTTGGCGCCTGGGAAGCCTGCCCTGGTTGGTAATGAGGTTCGGTAAGTGACACCCAGGGACCTGCAGCTTCTTAGAACAACAGCAGTAACAGCAATCGGCAACCATGTGAGAAGTCAGACTATCTTGGAACCACAATGCTGTGAGGTAGGCCATGGGCAGTGGGCAGGGGTCCTGGGGAGAAGATTAGCTTCTGTCTATTCCCACGATCCCAGTGCAGGCACCACTGGTGGGGGGAACCAAGCCCTGGGGGGGGTCTTCCACGGACTGTAGTCCCAGCCACCTCCTGTGACCACAATCCTATGTGGGACTCAAACCAGAAATATCCAGCCAAGCCCACGCAACACAGCAGACCAGGGGAGATGATGGTTCTTATGCTCAATTCGGGCAGTTTGTCAGGCAGCAATAGATACCTAAGGTATAGACCCTGGCAGGGGAAAGAGAAAGATGAGAAATAACACAGGAAAGGCCTGAGAGGAAGTAAGTAAAATGAAAAATAAATTATAGAAAAATAATAACATGTATGTAAAGCAGAAGATATCAAAACTTTGTATTTGGAAATAAAGGCTGAATTTTAAATTTTATTACACATAACACAAAACAATTAGTTCTCTTCACTTAAAATACTCGAGATACTTAAAAGGTAAATTACTCATAGCAATCTAGTGTGGAGAAAATAAGTCAATGAAATATCTAATCTTTCTACTACTTAAAACCACATAAGCTAAATCTATAAACAAAGCCAGAAATCCCCTTGCTTAACACTTACTCAGTTTGGCATCTGCTGTCACTGTTTTCATCTTTCCGAGAATGGCACTGAGTGCGAAGGCACCGTTGATCTGGCTGGCAGAGTGAAGCAGGGTGGCCCTGCACATTCTCCTCACCCTGCCGCATAGCAAGAGGTAAAAGCTCGCTCGCTCTCCCTTCACATCCACATCGGGAGCTAAGGAGAGAAGAGGTCCAGGTAAGGACATGAGACGCAGCCCGAGACACGGCCATCATCGGCCAGGGGAGACGGACAAGGCTCAACGCCAGCTGGAACCCGACTCACTGGGGCCAGTGGCTGCTCATTTCATTGAAAAAGCTGTTGAGGCAAAGAATCATAAAAGTCATGCAAAGCATAAACCTTTTGTTTTAAATTAAAACTATGTAGTCATTGTTTTGATGTAGCTCACTGAGTTCCATAACAATCTCGTCTCGTCTCTTCTCTTCTCTTCTCTTCTGTTCTCTTTGCATTCCTGGGGATTAAACCCAGGACCTATGCACTGAGTCACATCCTCAGCCCTTTTATGAAAAAAAAATAGGCTCACACTAAGTTGCTAAGTTTCCCAGGCTGGGCTCAGACTTGCCATCCTCCTGCCTCAGCCTCCCAGAGGCAGGGATTCCAGGTGTGCACCACCAATGCTGCCTAATAATGTTCTTATATCGCCATCCCCATAATATATCTTTTTTCAGTTCTTTAAAGTGGACTGACTCCTGCAAGCACACACAACTCAGTCAGAGAGAGAAGGGCATAGATAAAAAGTTAACCCTCCATGTCCACAGATTCTGTACCCCAGATACAACCAACCACATATCAAAAATAACTCCATCTGCACCTACATGTACGGGCTTTTCTTGTAATAAATAATGCAGCGTAACAACTGTTTACATAGCATCTACACACCCTTAGGCATGATAAGAATCTAGAGGTGATCTAAAGTCTATAGGAGGGCGTGTGTAGGAGATACGGAAATGCCAGGCCATTCATACATGACCCTGGAGCATCGCTGGGTTCTAGTCTCTGCAGAGGCCCTGGAATTGATCCCTATGGCACTGCGCAAAGACTACACAGAGAGCAGCTTCCGGGGTTTGTCCGCAGCAGGCACCCATAATGCATTCGTACTGTTCATCTGCACACCAGGGACGCGAAGGTCGGCAGGACAGCTTCCAGGACATTTTCAAAACACTTCAAGTGAGGGCAGAGAAGGTTGAAGGAAAACTGTGAAGCCTTTGGGAGTAAAAACAGAAATAGAGTCTTTTGTTTTTTTCAGAATGGTGAACTAGACGGAGCATTTATTTTAACTGTCACGGATATTCTACTAAATCGAATAAAGAGATTGAAAAGTGTGAGTCTACAAGGACTGATATCTGGGAGAAGCAATATGGTAACTTCAATTTGAAAGCAAGATAGCATTTGGTCAATGAGTAGCAGACTTCAGTCTCTCGCCTGCTAAGGAGGCTGAGAAAGACAGTGTCCAGAAGCAACTCAGTTTGTACCAAAAGCGGCCCCAGGAGCCTGGGCCAGAGGCGAGAGAGCTTTCGAGGGGAATGGAAGTTAGAGCAGGAAGATGCTGAACAGCGGCTTGAAAAGCAGAGAGGCTTCCTGATCCCTTCTTATTTTATTCAGACAAATGACTGTCTTTCCTGAGCCTGGAAGAGTTGAGATTTCTTCTCTAAATAAAAATAAACATGGTCTCTGGCCTAGAAGATATAAGACAGAATTGAGGATTGGTGTTCTGAATTGATTATCAGGGAATCTAAGTGACTGGTTCTATATTGAATATCAAGGCCCCTTACCCGGCTTTTCCTATATGATTCCCAAAGTTTTGGAAGCTAGACAGCAGACTTGAGCCATCTTTTGGAAATACGGGCAGTCTTAGAGGAAAGACTGAAAAAAGCAACATGGTGTGGGGGGGTCAGGCACCTAGGGAAGTAACCTCCATCTCCCTCCAAAGAAGGTCACAATCGCTACGCTCTGCCCACGTATCTAACTTGTCCAGTCAGCTTCCTGGTTTTCTCTATTAAATATGAACAGACAGCCAGAAATTGTGGGGCTTGAAGGAAAGTTGCTAACATGAAAGCCACAGGCCAAAATGAACAAGAAGAAAGCAACCTGTAGGGAGACAAAGAAAATGCAGCAAACAGAAAAATCTTAAAAACAAATTCTAAAAATAAGCAAAAAAGATGACCAAAATCCTCTGAGAAGGTGTTACAGCCTTTAAGAAGAGGAAGTCACAGGAGCTCACAGATGAGAGCACTGAGCAGAAGAGCATCATTAACCTACAGCATGCCACACACATCTCCAGGAGCTGGGCGCCTCGCACACCTGGACCTGGGCCCTCTTAGGACCACACTGTCTCCTCCTTTCCATATGCAGCCCCCTGTCAACTACTGGATCTTCTCCTCTCTGCTTCCATGAGGCTGGCTGTGTAGATCACAAAAGAGGACAGGAAGGAACTTTTGCAGGTGATCATGTTTACGGCACAGGCTGGTGGTTTCACAGCTATATACTCATTTTGAAATTCATCAAATTGTATACATTAAATTTATATAGCCCTTTGTGTGTCAATCATGTATTAATAAAGTAAAAAAAAAATAAAGAGCTCATGGAAATTTAAATTAATAAAGCAGAAATAATACTCCAACTAAATGATTATAAAACAGATTTCAGGAAATCTAGCAGAAAGTACAGTAAAACAACAAAGAAATGGAAGACAAGAGGGAAAGACAGGAAAACCAAAATAGGCAAAATAATATGGAAATAGGATCTACAAGAAAAGGAACATTTAAAAAACTAAATCAACAAAATTATTATATAACAACAATTATCAGCAAAGTAATTATAAAAACATTATCTTGGCAGGTATGGAGTAATTCCAGTTCCCAGAAGGCTGAAGCAGGAGAATCACAGCAAGTTTGAGGCCAGCGTGAGCTAAGCAAAGAGCACAAGGCCAGCCTGGACTATATAGCAAGAAGCTGAATCAAAACAAAATCAAAAACAGAATAAAATTCTTCCAAAAGACAAGTTTCCAGGCATTCCAAATACTCAAATATGAATTAAAATAAAACCAATATGCATTATCATAAAAAGTTAGATGAGAACCAACAAAAAAGGGCAAAAGATGAAAAGATAGTCAGAGACCCCAAAACTATAGAACAAATCTAGCAGTAAAACCAACCAATCTGTAGGGACAGATTTCTTTCTTACATATGATTTGATAGAATACTGTGGCACACAGTTAGACTGGGAATGGTGATTATATAATCTTAATGACGGAATCAATGATAATCTAAATTTCTGTAAGATCACCCTCTGAAAAGAGGAAACAGAGAAGAATGTGGGGTGTGGTGAGGACAAAGAAGTTACGAAGGATAAAACCCTCATATTCCATAACAAGGAGTCAGGAGAAAATATATTACATTAAGAAAAAACAAGTGGCAATTAATACAAACACTTGATTTACAGATCTAGAGTTAAAAATAGTTGCTTCTAGAGAAGAGAAAGTGCAGAGGAGTGTGGTAAGAATATCAAATATCTTTGAAATATAATCTATGTAATATATAATTTACCTACTTAAATATATAATTCAACAGTTTTTGGTATATTCAGAGTTGTGCAACTATCTTCAAAGTCTAATTTTAGAACATTTGCATCCCCTCTAAAAGAGAAAAACTCCATAACCATTACCAGTGTGACTGCTTGTTTTAAATCAACACTTACAACCTGTTTAGATGATATAATTGACTTTAAATTATATATGACTTTAAAAAGAAAGAAAAACGAGTTTCCCCAACCTAAGCAATACCCCCTTAAACTCCCCACCCCTACAGCTATTGTTTTTTATTCTATTACAAATAAAACTAGTAACTTTGTCCCTGTATGTAAGACTTCACAACCTCCTGTTCTCATGAGATCCTGTTTTTACCCAACCAAGGGAACTAAGATATGCTAAGTTACAAAACTATCACAGCTTGACTGACTGCCTTTGTTCTGTTTCTCTCTATAAGTTTCATGGCATTAGGCAGACCAAGTCCCCTCTGCAACATGTATAAAACTAGAGCTCTTCCTTTGTTCAGGGCTCAGCCTTTGGACACCAGTCTGCTGAGCAGGTGTGCACCTAAATAAATCCTCCTGTTTCACCCTTGGTCTCTCTGATCTCTTAAATTCTGCAGCAATATGACTTTGACAAAAAAGGAAGAAAAATGAGCTAAATGTAAAAAAAAAAAAAAAAACCTCAAAATTTAATTTTACTCATCAGTTATACTAAAAGGATAAAAGTTATAGAGGTAATAGAATAGCACATATCACCACAAAGCCACTGATACTTAGTTATAATTACTTTTTTATACGCCTATCTGCATATACAAATTATAGGTAATAATGAGATCAAAGCCAATGTTAAGCCGAGTTACTGAAGCACAGATAAAGACATTCATGAAGAAATGCTCAAAGAATTGTGATACTAGAACACCTAGCATCACAATCCACTGAATCCTTAAGTCAGCAATTAAGAAAAAGAAGAAAGCATCAGGAGCAATGTCAAATGCAACAATGAGAACCAACCTAGTAACAGTACTCTAGGCTTTCTGACTGTCAGGACCACATCCTGTTCAACTTCATACCCCAACAGTTTTGTACTTTTACATAGGGAACGTTCAATAAATGTTGTCTGATTCAAAATGGAAAAAAATTATTGAGATAACCATAACACATAAGTCTTAATAATGAAGTACTTCTCAGACTGACAGAGGGACAATAATCTGGAAGTGATGCTGTAAAACTAAGGATCCACAGAGGCAGAAAGGATCTCAGAGTAAGGAGCCACTTGAACAGCCTACAAAATGAACAGGGATCCCCAACGGCAGCTCTGGGCCCCTTCAGTAAGAGTTTCACTCGGTTTGCTGGCTTTTTCCCTAGGCACTGCATCATAGTCAGAGTTCTTCCCTCCTCACATCTTGTTCTCTCCTCCCTCTCATCAAGCCTTTTCAATTTTTTCTTAATTGGCTCCATCAAACCGTCATGCATTGCAGATTTGCCCTTGCTTCATTTCCTTGCATTCAAGGGGTCTCCCTGGGCAAATACATTTGCTCGGACTGACTGGACCGACTCACAGCAATACAGCAGTCAGTGAAAACTGCCTCCTGCAAAGCACCCAGGTCTCCTCCACCCAGAGATAGGAG